TCAGATCCTACAGCTCCAGCTGTTGTTAACTTTGTGAAAGAAAACAGAGACATCCAGGAGCTCCGTCAGAGCTGTGGAGGAAGATATGTTGTTCTCAACATCAAATACGAACAGCAGATTCCCTGGTTGTTGGAAGCTGTGGAAAAGATGGGAGTTGAAGGATCCAGATGCTTCACAAAGGACATGTTCACCAAAGCTCAGATGGAGAAGGTTTTAAAACTTAATGCTGAACTGCAGGATGTAAAACAGAGTGAGATGGGAGGTGATGATGAAACTCAGAGCAACGAGAGTCTTAGGATGGTGCTGATTGGGAAGACTGGCAGTGGGAAGAGTGCAACAGCAAACACCATTTTAGGAAAAAAACATTTCAAACCCAGAATCGCCCCGAAGCCAGCAGCCAAGTCTTGTGAGAAAGCAACAGGAGATATTGATGGCCGACCTGTGGCTGTGGTCAACACCCATGCATTGTTCGACACGACTCTGTCTGATGATGAAATTCAAAAGGAGATCAAAAAATGCAACCGCATGTTGTCTCCAGGACCTCATGTGTTCTTACTGGTGCTGCAGATCGGGAACTTTACACAGGAGGAAAAAGACTCTGTGGAACTGATCAAAAAGTATTTTGGCAAGAAGTCTGAAGATTTCATCATCGTTATATTCACCAGAGGAGATGATCTGGAAGATCAGTCATTTGAGAGCTACATCAACGACTGTCCTGACTTTGTTAAAAAACTCATTAATGATTGTGGAGGGAGATACCAGGTCTTCAACAACAAAGATTACACAAACCGCACACAAGTTAGTGATCTGCTGACCAAAATCGAGACCATTGTGAAGGAAAATGGTGACTGCTGCACCACTGAGATGTTGGACAGTACAGACAAGGTCATACAAATACAAGTGGAGAGCATTTTGAAAGAGAAGGGCGAAGAGATGAAGAGAAAGGAGAGGGACCTCAGGAGAAAACATGAGGAAGACTTGAAAACATTGAAAAGGAAAATCAGTGAAATGGAACAGGAGAAAAAACTGGCGGCAAAACAGCTAAAGGACAAAGACGAATGCATCAACAAGGAGCGCCAGGAGAGAAAGAAAGAACGGGAGGAAGAGGAAAGGAGAAGGAAAAAACTGGAAGAAAGTCAGCGCCAGGAATGGAGAAGAAAATTGGATGCATCTGACAAAATAGTTCAATCAGAAAGACAGCTAAGGGAAAATGCTGAGAGGAAGCTGGAGCTGTCTAGAAAGGAGGAGAAGAGAATTCGAGAGGCCTGGGATAAAGAAAGAAAGGAAACCTGGGAACAAATCCGTCAGGAGGATAAAAAGAGCCTGGAGGAGGGGAAAACAAGCTTCAGAAAGCTCCAAGAAGAGTACCACCGTAAAAGAAGAAAATGGACATTTTCTTTGTTTGTGCTGCTGCTTTTTCTGTTATTTTTATTATATTATGTATTTCTCAGTCACTCAAACGCACAAACTACAGAGAGCGCTAGGACAAAAGAACACACATGAAGAGTTTTACAACTTGCTAGGCTGATTAAGGGGACACATTTACATTTAAGCACTACTACATGATGTAAAATAAAAACAACCATGTAAACATTAATTTTACAACAACGCTCAATATCAGTCTGAAGTTTGATTTTCTAGTGCAGCTGGACACTTTTTAAATCCATCAGGATACAGACGCACTATAAAGAGTTGGTTCATTACAACTACTATTATTATTGGTACATAACTAATCACTCCACAGCAGAGGTAGTTACATTACATTACATGTATTACTTTATTAATCAGCCCATCTCCACACTGTAGCATAGCTCTGGTGACTGCATGCAGCTTCATTCAGCGAGTAGTGTAAGAACTCATTGCTGAGTAATGTATTACTGCCCAACACTGCTCAAAAGCAATCAGACATTTTACCACTGCCATCCGTGTTTCCTGCATTTGTAGCACAAACACCTTAAAGTTGGGAACCACAGTTTTCCCACCTTTGACTCAGAATATGAGACTCATGCATCAGCTGGACGTACATGAGCTACAGATTACTGAGGTTTAGAGTAATGACTCAGAATCATGACCAGCTTAACTTATTCCCTATGGTGAGAACAGTTCCTCAAGTCACTGCCAAAAAGTTAAAGTCAACTGCTGATGCTTTTCTATTTCTGCAATAGCACATAAGCATAAATGAGAACTAGGTTCCATCCTCTTTTTTAATAAGCACATTTTCCCAAAGAAGTCAGGTGATTAAAAATATATTGAGAAGTTTGGATAAGCCAGTAAACTTATTTTTTTATTATAATTTTCTGGTTCACTGGCAAAGCCGGTTTTATTGTAATTCATCTTTGATTTCTCCTTTTAAGCACGTCACATTCACATTGTTGTACCTTTTTAATAGTAAAAATAGTTTAAAGCTGGAACCTGCCTCTCCAGGCATGCACATGGATCATTTGGGTTGTTGCTGTTTCTTTTACACTTTTACACTTACTTTGAGTATAATGTGTGTGTTTTGTTTATCTTGTCTGTTTCTGCCTCCCTGCATGAAGTTGGGTCCCACAGAGGCGTTTATCTTCAGAGGACCATGATTCCAGTTAATTCTGTTTCCTCAGGCTGTTCTTTGGATGACTGTTAGTTGTATATTTCTAAATCTGATTAAGTGTTTAAGTTGTGTTCGCTGTCTCAGTTACCAAACAAAATATACTGCAGGTCAAACTAACAAGAATCCCATTAAATGATTGTGGCATCATTTCATTGTATGCTATGTAACCATATAGCTGATAAATCTAACACATTATGAGACACAGTGATGGATTAGGAGATAATTTAGTTATATTTCTAATATAATAGTGAATTACATTGAGGAAATATCTTTTGTCTCCCTTATAATGTATGTTTATATTAGAGGTGGATGGCAATGTTTTCTTTTGTTTGTAATATTACTGAATATAGAACTGTTACAGCCTCTGATTCTGTTAAAGATTGTGACTATTGTTTAATCCACAGACACTACCTAGAAATGACTCATATTGTTTATGAAATACAAACATAATAGAAAGTAACAATAATATTTAAAGTTTTAGTATAATTTAAAAAAAATAGTTTTTTAGTTTATATGTTTTACCTGTTTGTTGGGAAAATGAAATGTACATTTGTGATTTATCATTGATCATGTGAGTTTAATAGGCTTCCAATAAATCTGCTTTAACAGTGGCTTTAATGTATTCTTTCAACTGTTTATCACAAATCTCAATGTCATAATGACACACAAGATTCACCACTTTGCCTAACGGGGGGGAAATTATTTTAACAATGACTATCCACTCCCCTTTTACACAACAGTACATTTGAAAAATAGTTCTTCAACAATCCAGCGGGTCAAACTAGCAGGGACAACGGATGCTCTCAAAAACAAATCACCAACCCAAGACCTTTAAATCTCCCAAACAAGTAACAAGTCCTCTGAACACCCTGAACAGACCACAGGCCCAAACAAACTGGTACCACAAACAAACTGGTACAGTAATTACACTTAAATTAAAACAGGATGGGTCCCCATTTCATCACAGAGAGAGACCACAAGATTAAAAAAGAAAATGTCTGATGTTTTTTTGTAATTATTTCATAATAAATGACTCGGTAGTGTGTAGGTCAGTGGTGGTGGTAGTGTTGAATGTGTGTGTGGTGTGCCACCCATCTTTAGTCTTTGCTGTTGGCTGACGTGCTGCGGTAAGCGTACTGACTCATTTCCGGTTTACTTCCTGCTCTGTGTACACTGTTTGGTGTTGTAACTGTGTCAGTTAACGCTAAATATAAACTTGATTTACTCGTTACAGCGGTTATTTACCCGCTTA